GATTTATCTGTATAGACTAGCACTGTCCAACAGAAATGTCATGCAAACCACATCTATAATTTTAAATCTTCTAGTAGCCACTTAAAAAGGTAAAAAGAAACAAATGAAATTAATTTTAATAGTATGTTTTAATTAACCCAATAAATCCAAATTATTATTTCAACTTGTAATATCAATATATAAGATCATTAACAAGATATTTTACATTTATTTTTCATACTAAGTCTTTGAAACCTGTTGTTTATTTTATACTTGCAGCATATTTCAGTTTGGACTAGCTACATTTTTAAGTGTTCTAGAGCCACATGTGGGTTACTTATTGTATTGGACAGCATTGGTAGAGAAATACATTGAATTCTGTGATAAGAAAACCCAACACTTTTGGTGCTTGAAAGTTGTGCATACTCTCAACACCAGGGGTCAGCCCAGTGTCATCAGGTTGATACAAGAGAAAGCATTTTGTGTGTTGGAGTTTGCTAAACTATGAACTGCAATGCAAAAATCTGTGTACAGTACAGTAAACCTCTATCAAGAAAACACTGCCGGTAAAGTAGTTGAAGCAGAAAGGGTGATGCAAACGTCATCCATGGCCTCTTCAAACACACAGGGGCTCTCAGTATTTCTGTCCTGATAGATGTACTGTCTTCATTTTTGTCTTGAATAACTGTTGAAGCTTCTCCCGCAGTTACCAAAGATGTCTCGTTTGTGGTAAATATACCGTTTCTCAATATTTAGACCTTATTAACTAGGTAAATTTTGTTTGCTTATTTTTCCTAAGAATCTCAAGCGAGCAGCATTTGTTTACTGAGTCACACATATCATATGCCTCTGTTTCTGGTTGTCTTAAGTTTCAGCCTGGTTTAAAGTCAGATCACCATAAAGGTCTATACTTAAATTTATATTTCTGTTATTTTCCACAGAAATGCCTTCCTAGAAATGCCCTGACTTAAAGATTCATAGTAGAAATTGCCATTCACAGTGCCTTAGTTTCATATACATTGTATTTATAAAGAGGCTTATTATGTTTTTAATATCCCTTCTATACCAATTGAAAAAAATCTAGCCGAGAATAAAGGTTTAGGAAAAAGTTCTCTCTGTCTCGTCCATTCGTTGCTTGGTTCTTGATCATTTTTCCAATTCTGAGGGGTTTGTTTGAATGTATCTCCTCTTACCGAACCAAAAACACTAAACCCATTAGTGTTAAGTTGATTCCAACTCACTGTGACCCTATAGGACAGAGTAGAACTGCCCCATAGGATTTCCAGGGCTGTAAATCTTTACGGAAGCAGACTGCCACATCTTTCACAGAGCGGCTGATGGGTTCAAACTGCCAACCTTTCAGTTAGCAGCCAAGCACTTAACCACTTCACCAACGGGGCTTCTCTCCTCTTACCTGCCGATTGAAATCCTTTTTGTCATAATACAAAGAATTCGTAGATTTGGAGCCCTGGTGGCATAGTGGTTAAGCATTTGGCTGCTAACCAAAAGGCTGGCAGTTTGAATCCACCAGCCGCTCCTTGGAAACCCTATGGGGCAGTTCTGCTTTGTCCTAGAGGGTCGCTATGAGTCAGAATCAACTTGACAGCAGTGGATTTGGTTTTGGTCTAGTAGTCTGTGCTAACTCTTAAGATAGGGCCGTGATATATTCTGCATTCCATGGCTTGTTGTAGCCTTTTAATAGCAGTTTTATACAAGGTACTGTTAATATATTTTAAATACTTATTTTAGAAAAGGGCTTCTAAATCACGCTGATACTCATTAAAGCTCAAGGCTAAGCTTTAATAGATTGTAAAGCTATCTTCAGTGTTTAAGAACTATATATCTAAAAATTAAGACTTGTTTCTTTTTTTCCTGTAACAGCTTTACTGAGCTATAATTCACATACTGTATAACTTACCTGTATAAAGTGTGCAATTCAGTGGTTTTTAATATATTCAGAGAGTTGTGCATCTGTCACCACTGTCAAGTTTAGAATGTTTTGATCATTACCAGAAGAAAGCCCATATTGTTTAGTAGTCACTCCCTGTTTTCCCTCAGTGTCTTCCCACTCCCAGCCCTAGGCAGTCACTAATTGCTTTCTGTCTGTATAGATTTGCCTATTCTGGGCATTGCATATATATGGAATCATACAATATGTGACCTTCTATGTCTGGTGTCTTTTACTTAGCATAATGTTTTCAAGGTTCATCCATATTGTAGCGTATATCAGAACTTCATTTCTTTTTACGGCTAAATAATGTTGCATTGTATGGATATACTATATCCTATTTATCTTACATTGATGGACATTTGGGTTGTTTCCAGTTTAGCTATTATGAGTAATGCTGCTATGAACATTTGTGTACAAGCTCTTGTGTGGACAGATGTTTTCATTTCTTTCGGATATATTCCTAGGAGTGGAATCGCTGGGTCATGTTATGGTAACTCAGTGTTTAAGCATGTTTATTTACTAAAATCTTTATAGACTTTATTTTAAACTGAAATATATTTCTAAAACTGAATAAACCAAAGTAAAAAGCTTCTCCTGATAAATTATTTTCTGTAACCAAAAAAAGTCAAGATTGTTTTTGTGTATTTTTTACGAGTGATGTTTTGGTGCTTTATTTTTTTCCATGTAATAATTATATACCTATAGAAATGTGGTTTTATTAAAATCAGAAACTAGGAGTAAACCACCTTTGCATGAGCATTGTGAAGTGGTGTTTTAAAATCAAGGGCTTTAAGCCTCGTAATTTTTCTGCCATAAGGTGGGGGTCGAGAGTTCTAAGATTCTGATTCCCAAACCAGTTGCTGTCTGGTTGATTCCGATGCATAGCAACGCTATGGGACAGAGCAGAACTGCCCCCATAGAGTTTCCAGGGCAATCATCTTTATGGAAGCAGACTGCCACATCCTTCTCCCATGGAGTGCCTGGTGGGTTCAAACCATTGAGCTTTCAGTTAGCACCGTGCCGCCAGTGCTTCTTAAGATTCTTGTTAATTACGGACAATTTGCTGATAACCTTAAAATTAATTTTCCGTAAGTTACCAGAATAATTGTTGGTACCATTTTTTAGAACAACGTTCCTTTAAGATTTGCATGATTTCCAATTTCTGCATAGTAACTCTGCTGTGAGGGGTTGTCAGCCATTTAGAAATTATTAGTTTTTTTAAAGATGTAAATACTGATTATGTATTCACCTCCAAATCCTTTTTTCTCTATTGAATTCTTCTGATCAGATAATCATATTTTTAATTTTTAATTCTAAACTGAGAAGAGCCACCAGGGGATGGTGGGCGGGGGGGGAATACATGTTTTGATTGGGCAAATAAAAGTTGAGGAAAGGAAGAGGTAATTCTGAGAGTGGGGCCTTTGGTGGGTCTGGTAGGGGCTAGAAAACAAGAGAAAGAGTGAGGAGGCCTGGATGGGTTGGCACAGTGGCAGGTCCTTTACACAAAACCAAACCCACTGCCATCGAGTCAATTCCGACTCATAGCCACTCTGTGACTCCTTTACACAAGGGAGTATCAATAGAATCCTAGAGCTAGGAGGAAAATTTCAAATCCTAATGCCTGAACAAAGTCAGAGGATGTACCTGTTCTCTTCACTAAAAAGTTAAAGTACACACTGTCATACATATTGTGTATAATCTGGAATGGGAAGAAAACGTTCTATTTTATTCTATTTTAATGAAAGCTGTTATATGGCACCTTGGCATCAGTTTGCCCATATCAAATATTAACAGATGTGTTACTAATCATAAAAATATATTTGTCACAAATCATTTTTAACAAATTTAGTTTTATGTCATATTGTATACATAAAATTCAACAGTGAAACTAACTAAAATAGATTTTCTTAAGGTTTTCATACAAACACATGTTCCATATATAGATATGTAAGACCAATGAAACAGACTGGACAAATTCCTAGGTTATTATGTTTCTAAATTGGGTTTTCAAAGGTCCCACAGTTCTCTTTTCTTTTTCATTGCAAAGTTGGAAATGGAAAGGTTATCACATGGACTACTAGTGAAAGGTTCTGTTGCTGTTTGGAGCATGCCAATCTTAAAAGACCACATAGTTTAAAGATAAAAAAGAATTGCACCTAGCAGTAGATTTGGAAAATGGATTTCATTTATGAACCAAATTTAGGGACTATAGACAATAGTGAAATTCCTTTTTAATTGACATGATGCCGGATGATTATGCACATTTTTCACTGGTTGCTTATGAGAACACCATTTTAGTTTCTTCAGAGTTACATTGATTTGCCAGAATTCCTGAGAAAGGACCTTGCTTTACTAAGGCTTTTAGCAGGTAGAAGGCAGATCTTATTGCAAAGGAAATGTGTGATGACAGTGTGACTCTTAATAAATGGTGGAGATGAATCTGGTTGTGAACCTTTGGTTTGGTGTAATATATTTGCTATCATACGTGCTCAATTAGAGGGCAGTTTCGTATTTTCCCCATGAAAATACCTCTCCCTTGACCCCCCGCAAAATTCTTTTGCCAACTGGAATATATAAACTTCTAGAGATATACTTGATACATTAAAATCTACATATATTTAATCTATTTTGTTAGATAAACAATTGCATTAAATATAGAATTTAGAAATTGTATGTTGTACTTTCTCATATGATGAAATAATTTGTTGAAACTCATCATACGTAATTGGAATCCCTTTGGGTTAATGCGTTCCCAAGACAGTTGTTCAAGTGACAGTTATTAGGAATATGAGTGACTTTTTAAGTCTTCAAATGTAAGGCACCTCCTTTTTTCTGAAAAATAATTTTTGGGGAATAAAATCTTTACCTGATATCTGAACATATATGACAATTCCTTTTACCTCTTACTTCTTATTAATATGTAGAAGTATTTCGCAATTTTAAGAGGTCAGAGTCTTGAGAGCTTATTCTTAAACTAAGTTCTTAGTTATTAATGTGGATTTTGTGTTTTTTTTTTTTTTTTGGTCTTTTCCTTTGAGGGGTTGGACATAATTGCCTTATTTCATTTCAGGGATCCTTCTAAAGTAAATATTCTGGTACCTGGTGCTGGACTAGGAAGACTGGCCTGGGAAATAGCTATGCTAGGTTATGCTTGTCAAGGAAATGAATGGAGTTTTTTTATGCTCTTTTCTTCCAACTTTGTACTCAACAGGTATTTAATTTACTTTTTGCTGGAAATAGTAATTTCTCAGAATCAGATGACATACCTATTTTTTGAACAATTCTGAATTTGAAGATAAGCACCTAGTGCTTGATTATGATGTGTGTCATATTTCTTTTGTTAAAATCAAATTGCTTATAAAAATTACCAATTTCATCTAGTTAATAGAAATCTGAAACGGGATGGGTAAGTGACGTTTTAGAAAGTGGCATTCTATGAAATGATTCTGTGCAGAATTACCAGGACTAATTTTGATCCAGGAAGGAACATTTTCTCATTGTTCCTTTCACTTCTTCATCCCTTTGTTTTTTTAGTGGAAGAAGAATTCAGTGTAGCAATCATAACTTTTTTTCCTTAACCACATTCTTAATAAATGGCCAAGTTTGCTCACATGACTGAGGTGGGAAGATCCCTAAGAATTTCTGAGGCCTTTTTTGGAAGGTAGCAGGAAAGGTGTCATTTTTAAAGCCAGAAGAGGTGTGTTAGAGAAAAAAATAAATGGGTGCAAACGATACCTTTATATCTGAATTCACTTTTTTTTTTCTTTTAACCAATGATTGGTTGCTCATCTACATGTATGTGTACATTTTCAAATAATGGGGTAGGGAGCAGTGATAACACTTTAAGTAGTAATGAATTATATAAAGTACACCTTCAGTCAAAGAGATTATATTTCAGTGTTTAAAGTAGATTTTCTTGGAAATTTTGTAATTAACACTGAATTTTATGTTTATATTTTACAGATGTTCTGAAATTAATAAATACAAGCTTTATCCCTGGATCCATCAGTTTAGCAACAACCGGAGATCAGCTGATCAGATTCGACCAGTCTTTTTCCCTGATGTTGACCCCCACAGTCTTCCTCCTGGTTCTAATTTTTCTATGACAGCAGGAGATTTTCAGGAAATATACTCGGAATGCAGTAAGTCCCAAGCAAGCATTTTTAAAGATCTTTTCCTTTATTCTAAACTTAACGACCTAATTTTAAGTTAAACTAATGTGTTGGTCATTCATTTTGATATCAAAATATAAGGCATATTTCAGTGACACTTTAGAACATCTTCAAGGCCCTGTACAAGGCAATTACAGGCAATAAAAAGAAGTATAAAGTAATCTGCAGTCAAGAAATTTAGAATCAAGAAATCTATTACTATAAAACAGCATATGAACAAAGTTCAAATGAGTAAGGAATGTTACAAAGTTGAAAGCAGGTTAGTTTGAGAAGGGAACTCTTTGCATACAGGCCGTGAGGTGAAGGAAGGGGAGGAATGGCATTCCAGACAGGCAAAGCTACACAGTTAAGGTAATTGGGAAGGCAGAACAGCCTGGGTGGAAGGGAAAGGGAGCTTTGTTTGGGGATTTAATGGGAGATATGGCTGGAAAAAGAGCCCCTGGGTGGCACAAATGCTTTGCACTTGGCTACTAACTGAAAGGTTGGTGGCTCAAATCCACTGGGCAGCACCATGGAAGAAAGGCCTGGTGATCTTCTGTAAGATTACAGTCATTGAAAACCCTGTGGAGTGTAGCTGTACTTTGACACATGGGGTCATCATGAGTTGGAATCAACTTGACAGCAGCAGGTTATGGTTAGTAAAATAAGTTGGTTCCAGATTATGGAGGACCTTTACAATCAGGCTATGAAGTTTGGAATTCAAGCTAGCAAATTGTTGAAGAAATTTTAGCTAGCCCTTAGGGAAAGACAGATGTTAATGTGGAAAGGGCAGAGAGGGATTGGCAGAAAAAAGAAAAGTAGCATGCTGAGGGGTTAGCAAGATCATTTATTCGAAGTATTAGTTGAGTACCTCCTAAGTACAAGGTGTGTCCTGTACATTGGAAAGAGAGTAGTAAGCAAAACTGTCCACAGGGAACTACATTGTAGTAGAGAGAGAGAAGAGCAGTAACAAATACAATATTATGTGAAAGAAAAATAAAGCAGGTTAAAGGGGATATAGAGTGACTGGGTAGGGACTGCTGTCAGATAAGAGTTGTCTGGGAAGGGCTTTCTAAGTGCAGAAATGTAAAAAGAAAAAGTCAACCAGAGAACCTCAAAGCAGTAAAGAGTCAGATCATTCAGATGTTTTGGCCAAAACGTCCCAGACAGAGGAGATGGCAGAGGAAGAGGCTTTGTTTGGAATGTGCTTTTTCTGCTCAAGGAAGGGCAAGAGGGTCAGTTTGGCTGGGGTGTAGTAAGTGATGGGCATAGTGGTGGGAGATCAGGTTGGAGAAGGTCTGGTGAGGCATACTTGCAGGCCATGGCAAAGACTTGGAGTTTTATTCTGAGAGAGATGAGAAACCATTGGAAGGACTGGATTAGGGAAGTAACAAAATAGTGAAGTTTTTGTTTATTTTTCCCTGAACTCTGAGATTGGGAAAACCTGTACTCTTAAGGTAGAAAGGGAAAGATGAAAAATGTTAGGTAGTGGGGATAATTAGAAAACAAGATCTTAAAATGGAGAAGACATAATGGAAAATATCATTTAAGCAAGTGTAAATGACCTTCTTCTGGAGCACGGTTTCAGAGGCATTGCCATATCTAGGCATTGAAGGTGATCCTCAGATTAAATGTCTTTATTGCACCAGCTTGTACAGACACCATACTTTAAATTCAGTTTCCTATAACTGCCAGGCCACAGCCTCCAAGAGGTAAATGCAGTGTTTGCTGCGGGGTGCCCACGCACTGTTTCCAGCTGCCCTGTCCCCCTTTTCCACTGGCGATCATCCGAAATGGTGCACTCATTTCTCAGTGAGCAACCCATACATGCGTTCTTTCGGAATCTACCAGAATTGGTGTTTGTGTTTTAAATCACAATTTGAAATTCAAGTGACCATTTCATCTTAACTGATTTTAAATGAAGACTAGAAGTTGAATAGGTTAGACACAGAAGTCTTATGTATCATTTGGTAAAGAAATCTAGTAATATATGTTATCAAAATGATTTCCAGATTGATTACTTTATTGGATTATTATTAAAACCCTTATAAATTACAAAGTATCTCCCGTATATGATTTTTTTTTACCTTGATTATAGTGTTGATAGGAAGATTTTAGTTTCTGTATCCTTGTAGTTGAATGAAATACTAATGCTCTACAAGAGGTAACTGGTAACATTGTGGAATTAATTAAAGAAAAAGAAAAATAACATCAGTTATTGAATTTTTCTTGAATAGATACCTGGGACTGTATTGCTACTTGTTTCTTCATAGATACAGCTCACAATGTAATTGATTATATTGATACAATATGGAAAATACTCAAGCCAGGTGGAATTTGGATAAATCTAGGTAAGTTCTTCAGTATTCATAGATATTTTTTTAGAGTATTACACAGTAATCAGAGTAATTATATAGCTCTTCCACATTTGGTAACTTCATAGGACCAAATGTTCATGAAAGGTATAATTGTACTGTACATCTTTTAAAAAATATACATCCCAGTGGTGATACACCCAAAAGCATTGGAAACCCAAAATGTTGTATTATGTTAAAAAATAACCAAACCAGTTGCTGTTGAGGTTATTCTGACTCATGGTGACCCCATGTGTTTCCTAGTAGAACTGTGCTCCATAAGGTTTTCATGGCTGTGACTTTTTGGAAGCAGATCGCCAGGCCTTTCTTCCGAGGCACCTCTGGATGGGTTTAAGCCACCAACCTTTCGGTTAGTAGTGCCACCCGGGGACCCCTTGTGTTATATTAGTTGTATTATTAGATTAGTCTCACGGTAGTCATAATTTCAAAGTGTACTAATTATTAATCTGTAGGTAATCATTCCTACATCATTCCCATCCTCCACCCCATTGAGATAGTAGTCACTGCTATTTAAGAAGAGGGTGTTTTTTTCTTTCTATAATGAAACGCTTAGGGGAAAGATCTTACCTATCCCACGAACCCCTTCTCTCCAGTACGTCCACAACTGGAAAAACAGTAGGTGTGATAATTTGTGATTACTTTTGGTAGCACAGTGGTTAAGAGCTCAGCTGTTAACCAAAAGGTTGGCAGTTCGAATCCAGCCACTCCTTGGAAACCCCATGGGGCAGTTCTACTTTGTTCCATGGGGTCACTATGAGTTGGAATCAACTCGACAGCAACGAGTTTGGTTTGGTTTGGTTTTAGTTTATGAAAGAATAGAAATGTAATTTATTTATGTAAAAAACTTCTTTACTGTATCCTACTGCTAGGTGCTAGATGGATATGACCCAGTCCTTCCCATCCAGAGGCTAAGGGAAATTGCCAGTTTTCCCCTCTTTAAAATAAAGGGAGAATAATGATAATATCATCAATATATTTGTCTTTTTTAGTGAGATACATAATCCATGTTATGAAAGACATCAAGGCTAGAATATAAAGCTTTTCAAGATAAGAGTTCATAAAGGGACAGATATACATTGTTTTGAGTCCATGCCTTCAGGATTGGTCTAATTTTGTTGCTGCGTTCTGTCACTTAACTGTATTTGTAATGGTTTGATTTAAAAGTCAGCTTGGGAACCTTTTCTCAAGTAATGATCAAAAGATATTATCTACCATGTATTTGCTCACTGTGGGTTTGGCACTATTTTAGCCCCTTATAAATGACTCATTTAATCTCCAAACAACCCTATATTGAAATGGTATTATTGCTCTTTTATAGTTGAAGAAACTGAGGCTTGGGGTTAAATAACTTGCAGAAAGTTCCCATAGCGTATATGTGGCAGAGATAGGCTCCCAAACCAGATCTGACTCTCTGAATGCCTAACTAGTTAGCTCTACAGGTTCACCCTGTATCAGTTTATAACTGCACATTAACATGACCCCATATTTATGTGTTTACAATTTTTGTTTTACTGAGTTATGGTAAGGTTTTGTGTATTTCCAAAGCATTCAACTTAACTTTCATAGAAACAACTTTCTTTTTGAAATTTTATTTTATTGGTTTACTAATGTTTGATTAGGTTATGTAATAATTTTAACTGCCTGGAAGAAATAAACTTGGCCTTTGGTAACCATGCTGATAAGAGTAGACGTCCTGGAGCATGGCCTGTGATCTGTCATAGGCATCACAGGTAGCGGTACACATTGATTAACAGAAGGTCAGTTAGGAGTGGTACCACTTTTCTTACTACAGAGTTTCAAAACAATTTTGAGAATTGGAATAATGGAGTGACACAGCCCTTAAAAATAGTTATTTGGAAGGTTAATACTCCTGTGCATGTGTAAGTTTAAGAATTTAAAAAATAATTATCTCATATTAATGTTCCTTTAAATAATGGTGTGCTCCAAGTATATGTTTATCTTTTTAGTGTTTTTTACTTTCTATGCCATGTACTTATTCTTTACTTGATGTTACTCCTACTCAATCCCATGGGTTCTCCTATTCATTCAATTCCCAATCTGTTATTTCTGGTTCAGATATCTCTTGTGCTCTAAACCAGTATATCCAATTTGGATGTACCACAGATACTTCAAATCTGTGTCTCTCAAGAAAATGATGCCCATGCCTCCAATACCTCTTCCTTTCCATTATCTACTCAGATTCCCCCAACCAGAAACTGGAGTCTTTTACCCCTCTTCTTCCTTATCATCTGCATCTAGTTAGTCTAGAGGTTGTACCTCTTAAAACTCCTTAATTGCTCTTGAATCCTTCTACCCCAGGGTTTCTTAACCATGGTACTATTGACATTTTGGACTGGATAATTCTTTTTTAGGGGGTGGGGGGCTGTTCTGTGCATTTTAGGATATTTAGCAATATCCCTGGCTTCTACCTACCTCCCCAGTTATAACAGTCAAAAATGTCTTTAGACATCGCAAATGTCCTCTTGGGGGCAAAATTGCCTCCAGTGGTAAACCATTGCTCTAACCTCATGTCACTGTATTAGTTCAAGCCCTCATCATTGCTTGCCTGGAGGATATCCCTGCTACAGGTTGTCTTCAGCCTCCACCCACCAGTCAGTTCTCCAAATTGCCACCAGAGTAATCTTCCCAACATGCAAATCTTTTGTCAAGACTCCCTGCATAAATTTCTAGTTTTTATGATAACCTAAACTCTTCTAGATGTATACAAAGACTTGAGATATTATCTTACCTTGCCTTTTCTCTTTATTTTCTACTTTTAAATTAGATTTTTTTTTAGAATCACTCTTTTCCACTTCTACTAGTCTGAAAGTTAGTTTCTAGTCTTTTAGTGGTTATCTTAGAAATTATAATGTGCATATATAACAAGTGTAAAGTTTATCAGTACCTTTACCCTCCACTGAAATAATACAAGGGTCTTCTTTTACCCTTCTAAAAGTATTTTAAATTAATGTTTTATTTAGTATTTATTTAGATTTGCCTACATATTTATTTACTACTTTTTTTTTTTTGCTTTTATTCCTTCTTGTATTTCTGACCTCACATCTGGGATCATTTTCCTTCTTCTAGAAGCACTTCCTTTAGAATTACCTTCAGTGAAAGTTTTCTGGTGACTAATTTGCTTAGTTTTTATTTGAAATTACATTATCCTATTCCTTATATATACCAAAAAAAAAAAAAAAAAAAAAAAACCTGTTGCCGTCAAGTCGATTGTAACTCATAGTGACCATATATATATATATATATATATATAATTCATTGTGAAATAATTCAACTTACAGAAAAGTTGCAAGAATAGTATAAAGAACTTCCATATACCCTTCACCCAGATTTACCAGTTGTTAGCATGTTGCCACATTTGCTTACTCACATTGTCTCTTTCTCATATAGGTATATAGACACCATGACCTTTTATTACCAAGTACTTATGTGTATACTTAAAACACGACATTCACTTACATAGTCATAGTACAAATATCAAAATCAGGAAATTTAACATTAGTAGAATACTATAAGCTACAGACTGTATTCATATTTCACCAATTGTCCCAATAAAATTAGGCTGCAAATCTGCCCTATGGCTAAACCATAATTTACAACCTTTCTGGATTCTTTTTTTCCCCTCCTTTGAGCCCCTGTTTTAGTTCCTTCCATAATGTTGGATGATCTACCAGACTTCCTACCTTTGGTGGGCCCAGGGCTTTGTCTTTTGTCCCCTGACCCAAAGAGTTTGTCAAATTGCAGGTAGCTTTTATGTAGATAGTCAGATACCCTCAGGGTAACAGTACATCTAGGTTTACCTCTGGTTAATTCTATGAGTTTCTAGTAATTTCTTACTAGCTTGGAAGGCATTCTGTACTTTTAAGATGAAAAAAAAATTTTTTTTTCATAAGCCAGTTTTAGTTGTATTCAATAGGAGGGTTGATCTGAATGACCTAAATTGCCTTTATAGGAAACAGAAGTTCTTTATGTATTTTGATTTCTTTTACAGTGAGTTTTATTTTTTAATTTTATAGGAAAAAATATATATAAGAGAAGAAAAGCCAAAGTCCATAATAGAAAACTTAAGCCGTAGTGAACTAGGCAAAACCAAACCAAACCCTTTGCCGTTGAGTCATTATAAAAGAACAAACATAAATGACCAGTGTACATGAAAAAAAAAGTTCACCCTCACTGCTAATCAAATAAATATAAATGAGGTACCAATTTTTACCAGTCATATTGGCTACGTGTTTTAAAATGTTACTTAAAACTTTGATAAGGTACAGAGAGCTACGGTATATTCATAATTGCTAGTGGGAATATAAAGTGGTACGGCAGAGTCAATGACTTCCCATGGTTCATGGTTAGTAGGCGTTAGAGCTGGGCTGTGAACTGTGCACTTAACAAGGTATCTCTAACGTTATCTCCTCCTTCCAGGAAGCCTTCTCTATAACTTGCCCCTCCCTCACACACTCTCTTACCCAGGCTTGCTTGAGGACCCGTCTCTGTTTTCTCATAATATCCAGTTTATATTTGCAGTTTTGCATTTACTTAATAGAGTTTTAATTATAGTGTGCCTTAGGAATTTGAGGACTTAGCATTTCTGATTCACCTACTTCTTTAGAAGCTCAGAAGTTACCGGTGTAAGTGCATGACATGGAGAATCACATGCAAGTCTGGTGTATCAGAGGGACTCACCCCTCATGAGTGTAGGCCCAGCACTGGAATGTCAGTTACTGGGCCAAAGTTTCCGAAGTCTGGATAAGTATCCCTGGGGAATGTAGAGGTTCTTTACATCTCATTTTTATGTTTGTCTCATCCACTAGAGTCTGAGCTCCTTTAGTGTAGGAAAAAAACAGTTCCCATTGAGTCAACTCTTAAGTTGAGCCCGTGTGTGTCAGAATAGAATTGTGCTCCATAGGGTTTTCAGTGGCTGATTTTTTGGAAGTAGATTGCCAGGACTTTCTTCCGAGGCACCTCTGGGTGATCTCGAAATTGCAACCTGTTAGCAGCCAAGCACGTTAACTGTTTGCATCACCCTGAGACTCCCTTCGATATAGAGAACAACTTTTTCAACTTGGAATTCAGGTTGACACAGTTACTAACTAGTGTATATTTATATTCAAGTGATTAACTTATAGTATCTTTAAACCTAGGTCCTCTGCTGTACCACTTTGAAAATTTGGCAAATGAACTCTCTATAGAATTGAGCTATGAGGATATAAAAAATGTTGTTCTGCAGTATGGATTCCAGGTAGAGGTAAGAATAACATGAAGTACTGGCAAAGTTTAATTTTCAAAGTACTTAAACAGGAATGGTGATGTTTCTGCTGTTATTGGCTTTATTTCATAACTTCTGTATTTTCTCATATGTAAGGTGAAGGTAGTAATACTGATAGCTTTCAGAATTATAAGGATTTGGGATAACATGTATGCAGAGGGCAAACTATAATCCTTGGTGTAATAGTATATCAGTAAATGATAGCTGATCATTTTTATATTTGCCTCTATAGACTTTCACTGATGGATACCAAGTAGATTAGACTCTGGGGAAGCAGACAGGGAGCCAGGTGTAAGAGGGGTACTTTTCGCTGTATGTCCTTTTGTTTGATCTTTTCTTTCATCATGTGCATTAGTATAGGGTTTTATGATACTTCGAGTGTTGTGTTCCAGTTGTACATTTATTTAGAAGCATTCCACTCATTTTAAAAATAAACAACGGGTTTGTTCTTTAAAATGAAGAGAAGCAATACATTTTAATGGTTTAGTATTCAAGCTCTGGAGTTAGACTACCCGAGTTTGAATCCCAGTTCTGCCACTTTATACTAACATTGTGACCTTGGGCAACTTAAATAACCTGTCCATGCTTCAAATTCTTTGTAAAATGAGATTACTAGTAGTACTAATCTTACCGGGGTAATAAACGAATAGACAGAAAATGTTTAAAATAGTGACTGTTACTGTTGCAGTATTTGTTAGTAATGATGTCATTATTATCATCATCTTAATTTTTATTTGTATTGTAGGTGGAAAAAGAATCTGTTTTGTCAACATATACTGTGAATGATCTCTCCATGATGAAATACTACTATGAATGTGTCTTGTTTGTGGTTCGTAAACCACAATAATTGTCTCAAGTGATATCACCAGGAAAAACGTTTAATAAGAGCAAATGCTGAAATAAACAACTCAAAATCAACTCTCAGTAATGACAGGACAAGACCTCAAATCAGTGGTGCCTTCTTATTCCTAAAACAATTTAGAAATAGCATCTATTTTCTTAATATGTGTCTGTTGCTTTTCCAGAAATATGCTATGCCATGCATATTTGTACTACACAAGTGAAAACGGAGGGAATGTCTTTAAGTACACTTTCTTTGAAACGCAGAATTGTATCAGTAGGAAAAAACCTTATCTCCAGTGTCTCATTAAGCTGTCCTGGTGCAAGTCTCCCATATTAATGACTAATAGTATTGAAGCCCATAATAATCTCCTTTTTTGAACATGTAATGTTTTAGAAGTGTCTGAAGATCCTCTTTCACATTCAGCATCTAGAATTGGGACTTTTGTTCTATACACGTGTGTCTTTTATCATTCAAATTATTTTTTGCTAGCTCAGCTGAACTTAGAGAAGCATCAAACATTTCATTCTTAGGAAATGCCGAATTTAATAGCATCACAGGCCAGTAACCTGAGAAATTAATAAGTCTTTTGGCCATGCTAAATTAAACATTTTTTGAAACCGTTCTTATCACTGAGTCACTTTGAAATACTTGAGATCTCTTAACATTGTAAGTGAGGCACAAGCCTTTGTTAAAGGTAGTGCTAGTAAACTGGGGAAATAATAAAATTTGCCCACTAGAAATGTATGACTGAAACTATAAATCAATACAGTTTGTCAGTGTGATGTTTACAATAATGTCTTTTCTTAGATTATCTGTATTATAAAAGCAAGCACTTTTTTTCATTAATAACAATTAGTATACTAGTAAAAACTGTCATAATGGTATCAGTGTGGGGAAATTTTGAATATGAAATTCAGGGATAAATTACTGCCCATGGTCTGTCTTTAATATTGTGTAAGCAGCAGCCATTAATGTAATTTCAGATTAACACCAATTTTATTCCCCGATAGCTGGAGCTTGAACAGTATATGCTGCTTTAAATTTCTACCTCTAGAAAATCTGTATTGGAGAGAGTTTTCCTTTGTATTTTTGTATGTTTATTACTCTGTTTCCAGTAGCTTGGAAAGTAGAGATGACTAATTTAACGTTTTAATTTTTTCTTCGAGAAAAGGAAGTAGTCATCTTGAATATTTTCAAAGATGATTGTGATTGAATTAAATGACCTCTTTGGAGATTTGGTTTAATCCAGATGGACTTAATCACAATAATGTGCTGGTAGGATAAATGACATTTTCAAAATAGAAACACTTGTAAATCTTTAGACCTTTGTTGTCAGTTAGGCTGAGGGAGTCACTACATGATTTGGTATCTTACTAGTAGTAGGACCTTTTCTGCGTATAGTAAGGGAGATCTTGTGATCTTTACTCCCATTTTGCAGTGAACAGTTCTCTGGAGTTAATTTGACTTGTCAAATTATGGAAGTCTGTGATTGTTTTTTTGTTTTTTGTTTTTTAACAATTTTCTCTTTTTTGTATTCTTTCAGTATTTGGCAGATGTTCATTTGGTAGGAATTCTCATTACCTACATGAATGAACTTGAAATTAATTGCAAGGGAAAATAATATTTTGGTTTTTAGAGAGAAAAGAAACTTAAAGGAGCCCAACCAAGTATTAGAGAAATCCATTGAAAAGAAAGAATGCATGCTGTTTTTGAGTAATTTAAAAATGCTTTATTCACTGACTAGTATTTACTTTTTTACAACTTGTATCAAAACAGATGATCTTGTTTTTTGAATAGAGACAAAAACAGGTCAACACCAATGGTCAGGCTTTATTCCTTAAAATTCTTTTTGCTGTCAGAATTTATTCTTTAATAATGTTACTTATATTTCTAAATTATAGCTTATATTTTAGTTAATTCTGAAATCAGTTAGTTTTTAATTTCTCCTTTATATCATGAATTTTAAATATGTTCTACACAAATTTGCATCAATTTTTTCTTTCACCTTTTGCAGTTAATATATTCTAAACTTGAATGTAGTATCAGTCAATAATAGAAGTGTCATTGGAGGATTTAATTAATTTTGTATTTCTTATGTTTAATCCTAGCTACTTAAGTATGTAAGCCTTAAATTTAAAAAAAAAAAAATTTTCCCCAAATTTGCTCTATCACAAATGTTTTCATTTATTTTCATAAGGTGGAAAAGATAAGTCATTATGCTTGCTTTTGCTTTTTTTTTTAATTACCATAAGCTGAAGCAGTGTAGGTTAGGATATGTTAATCAAGTGAGCAAGGTGGAATATAAAATATGAAGAGAAGCTATATAAATCACAGTATAAAATTATGAAGTTTGGGAACTGTAAAATGTACTGCATTTATATGTTATTCTGGAAGTTGCCACAAAGGCTGAATTGGAAGCTTCATGTCTGCATGAAATTTCCTATATTTTTAATGTGTATGATGGACTTAATTTTTCTTGAATATTAAAGTCTGCCAATTGCTATGAAATCATATTTGCTTGGTTGTTTCCATCTAAGTTAGTGATAACCACAGACATGGAATTTTAACTAAGTGACCACATGTACTTTTGAATTCTTGAATTAGCCTATTTTTGTATGCTTCTAGGAAGCCAGTAATATGATTAGCTGGCATTTGAGTGTGCCAGGCCTTATACTTTTTTCACTTTTCTTCAAGTTCACTGTGATAAAGTTGGAGTCTACAAAGAAAAAAGATTAATCTTGATCTTCACTTTTGTTTAATAATAGAAAACTGTAAGACAGAAATAAACAGTTCTACCTTTTCCCACTTTCAGTAATGAATAGACCATCTAGACAGGTGATCAGTAAGGAGGTGGGTGATCATTATCATTGAACAACACTACAAATCAACTGAAAGAGCCCTGGTGGCACAACAGTTAAGCACTCGGCTGCTAACCAAAAGATTGGTGGTTTGAACCCACCCAGGGGCTCTGCAGGAGAAAGACTTGGTGAAATGATTCAGTAAAGATTGCAGCCAGGAAAACCCTTTGGGGCAGTTCTCCTCTGTCACATGGGATCACTATGAGTCGAAATCGACTCAGTGGCACCCAACAACAACATATATCAACTAGACATTACAGACATATACAGAACAGACTATCCAACTATGACAGAAGTAATTCAAGTGTACATGGAACATTCTCTAGGATAGATCATATGTTAGGTCACTAAACAATTCTCAATAAATTTAAAAAGATGGAAATCATACACAGTATTTTCTCCTACCACAGTGGAATGAAACTAGAAATCAATAACAGAAGGAAAACTAGAAAATTCACAAATATGTGGAAATCAACTGATGGGTAAAAGAAGAAATCACTAGGGACACTAGAAGTACTTGAGACAAATGAAAATGAAAGTGCAACATAACGTACCAAAATTTATTGAATGCAGCCAAAGCAGCGCTCAAAGGAAAATTTATCACTGTAGATGACTACGTCAGAAGAAAGATCTCAAGTCAGTTACCTAACTTTATACATTAAACAACTAGAAAATGATAAGCAAACTAAACCCAAAGCCAGCAGAAGGAAGGAATAGTAAGATGAGAACAGAGAGATAAATGAAATAGCAGAAAAGCAATAGAATCAACAAAACCAAAAGATGGTTACTTGAAAAGATCAACAATTGACAAGTCTTTGGCTAGACTGACTAAGAAAAAAGAAGATGCAAATAAAATTAGAAATGAAAGCAGAGACATTACTACTGACCATACAGGAATTAAAAGGGATTATACAAGAATACTGTGACCAATTAATTGTATGCTAACACATTAGATAATCCAGATGAAATGGACAAATTCTTCAGAAACACAAATTACCAAAACTGACCCAAGAGGAAATAGGAAGTCTAAGCAGACCTATACAAGTAAAGCGATTGAATCAGTAATCAAAAACTTCCAAACAAAAGTCCAGGCCCAAATAGATTCACTGGTGAATTCCACCAAACATTTAAAGATGAATTAATACCAATCCTACTTGAACTCTTCCAATAAATGGAAAGAAACACTTCCTAACATTCCGTGAGACCAGCATAACCCTGATACCAAAGCCAAAGATAACACAAGAAAATTACAGACTATATGATTTATGAATCCTCAGCAAAGTACTAGCAAACTAAATCCAAAAGAACATTAAAAGGATTATACACCATGACCAACTGGAATTTATCCTAGGAATGCAAGGGAGGTTCTGCATAAAATCATTCAATGTGATACATCATATTAATAAAATGAAGAAAAAATAATACGTGATCATCTCAATAGATGCAGAAAATGCATTTTGACAAATTCAACACACTTTGATGATAAAGACACTCAGCAAACTAGGAATAGGAGGCAACTTCCTTAACGTGAAAAAGGACATTATTAAAAACCCACAGCTAACGTAGTCAATCGTGAAAAACGGAAAACTTTTCAAAGACAAGCTACTGGCTGAGAGAATATTGTCAAAACCGTATATCTGATAAGAATCTAATAACCAAAATATATATAAAACTTAACAAAAAGGCAACCCAATCATAAAATGGGAAAAGGTCTCAGACATTTCACCAAAGAGGACAGTCAAGTGGCCACCAAACACATGAAAAGATGCTCTACGTCATTAGCCATCAGAGAGATGCAAATCAAAACCACAATGAGATATCATTTCATTCCCACTAGGATGGCTAAGATATAAAATAACAAATATCGGCAAGGATGTGGGGCAATTGGCACCCTTATCCGTTGCTGGTGGGAATGCAAAATGGTACAGCTGTTGCATAGAACAGTGTAGCGGTTCCTCATAAAACTAAAAATAGAACTACCATCTGATCCAGCAATTCCACTCTTAGGTAGATACCCAAAAGAAAGCAGAGAGACAGATACTTGTGTACACCAGTGTTCACTGCAACACTATTCACAAGAGCCAAAAGTGGAAACATCTAAATGTTCAGCAACAGATGAATGGATAAACAAAATGTACACACATATAACGGAGTACTACTCAGCCAGGAAAACAAATGAAGTCTTGATACATGCTACAGTACAAATGGAGCTGGAAGACATTATGCTGAGTGAAATAAATCACAAAAGGACAGATATTGTATGACCTCACTTAAATAAAAAGACAAGAACAGGCAAATGTGTAGAGACCAAAGTTTATTAGTGGTTACCAGGGGAGGGGGCATTATTACTTATGGAGTACTGACTTTCAGTTTATGGTGATGGAAAAATCACGTTGATTAAGGGTAGTGTGGCACAGCCGATTAATGTAATTGCTGTCAGTAAGTTGTACACCTGTAGAAAGCTGAATTGGCAAAAGCTGTGTGATATATTTACAATGACGACAAAAACAAATAGGGTAGCTGCTGAAGCTGCTAATGTACAATCAAACAACTCATGGGATTTGGTTCCTTGGTTTGGAGGTTTAAGGTCATGGTTTAATGGGACATTCCAGTTAATTGGCCAGAGAACATGTTTAGTGCTTCTGTTTTACCTCCTAATTTGTTGCGTAGCGCCTGGGGTCTTAAAAGGTTGCGAGCAGCCATCTAAAGTACAACTGGTCTCTTGGCATGGAGCAGCAGAGGAAGGAGAGTCAAGAATCGGAGGAGGCTATGGAATGTATGGCTAATTGCCTCCACGAACAACTGCCTCCTTTGCCATGAGACCAGAAGAACTGGATGGTGCCCAACTACCCTTACTGAACACTTTCATCAAAGATTCTATGGAAGAATCCTGATCAAAAAGGGGAAAATGCAGAACAGAATTTTAAATTCCCATGGTGGCTGGATGAACCCCTGAAACTGTTGTCCTGAGATAATCTTTATACCTTAAACCAAAAATAGCCCCTGAAGTTTTCTTAAAACCAAATAGTTTAGCTTAACTAGTAAAGAATGTCTGCCTTCTGTATTGTGCTTTTATAAGATCTATCAGTATGGAATCCAAATGACAACAGCAACTCAAAAGATTAGATAGGAACCTTAGGGGGCAGCAACTTTATTTTAATGGGGGAGGAACAACTCATAAAAGGAGGATGAGAATGGCTGCACAACCTGAAGAATGTAACCAATGTCACTGAATTGTACATATAAAAATTGTTGGTGTATGTTCTGCTGTGTATAGTCTCAACAACAAAAATAAATATAGACCAATAAGCCTAACATGTACATCAGGGCAACAGCACAGCCACCAGAGAACAAGTTATTCCCCAGCTGGGAGTGCAGGGGTGTGGAAGAGGCTAGTGATGGGGGAGAGCAGGAGCAATGGTGGTGGTGGTGAAACTTGTTAGCATTTTCCTCCCTTTGACATCTTGCTCCAAGGTCAATGCTTGAGCATGGGTGCTACTTCTTCCCTGTTTCCTTCCCTCTCCTCCCCCTTCCCCACCCCATGTACCTCCAGCATCTGATGAGCAACCAACCTGCAGGACTCTTTAATTCTGCCCATGCCACTGTGCTCTTCTCTGCAGTCCTCCAGCTTTGGCTAACCTGGCACCCAGATCCCCATCCTCATTACCATCCGGGTTGAACTGTGGCAGGGGTTAGGTACACACGCATAGCTGGCATTGCACTATTAGACAAGGCTTTTCATTCATTTTTGCTTTTGAGTGGCCACCTGCTCTCAGTTCAACCAAATGAACCAGTTTTCAGGTTATCCAAAGGTCTCTTGAGTAGCAAAGTCTTCATTGCTGAGATTAATTTCAGCTTTGGGGCCTCCTTGCCTTAGCAGCCACAGCCGTTGCCTTTTGGCTGGGGTCTGGGGCTGTGGTGTTTGCTGCCCTGTTGTCATGGTAACATCCCTTCCTTCTTGTCTTAGTCATCTAGTGCTGCTATAACAAGTACCACAAGTGGATGGTTTTAACGAAGAGAAGTTTATTTCCTCACGTCAAAGTAGGTTAAAAGTCCAAATTCAGGGCATCAGCTCCAGGGGAAGGCTTTTTCCTCTCTGTTGGCCTTCTTCTCTTCAGTGTTCCCCCGGACTAGGAGCTTCTCTGCACAGGGACCCCAGTTGAAAGGATGCGCTCTGCTCCCAGCACTCCTTTCTTGATGGTATGAGGTCCCCCTGTCTCTACTCACTTGTGTCTTTTATATCTCAAGAGATTGCCTCAGGACACAATCCAGTCTTGTAGATCCAGTCCT